ATCATGTGTCTATTCGGCCTAAACCATTTGAAAAACTATAAATAGGCTAGTGGATTTCATTTGTAATCATCTCATCTCTTATATAAAACATACTCTTATGAGTTATTTCTCTTCAAAGTTCTTTGTGAACTTTATCGATTAAACAAGTATAGTTCCTATACTTGTGGGGTGATTCCTTCCATCAAAGCGTGTAGAATCGCCTTACATCACCCTTTGAGGATGGAGATGATTTGGGGACAAATCACTTTAAAGAAGGGGGAATGATGTGATCATGCCCACTTCAGATCCAGAAGTTATGCCACAAGGTCCCATTACTCGATCAAGGGCCAAACAATTCAGGGAAGTACTCCTAACTAAGTGTATTGAAACTTTTGATTCATTTAATAACTTGACACCCTCTGATGTTAAGTTATATAATGTCTTAATAGTTAATAACTTAGCATGAGCACTTCGTGCATCTTGCTATTTGTAAGCATAATTATATATATTTGCTTTTGCATTCATCTAAGCATATTTTAATAATAAGCATACATGCATTCTCGTGTGACTCCATGCATTCATTTTAATACTTATAATTTTCATGTGTTGTTCATGATTTGCATTCACATTACAACATATCATTTGTGTAGTTCATTACATTCATCTTTGCCTTTAGCATTTTCACGTGTAGTTAATGTTGTTTGAAAATAATAAACATGCAAGTCAGAGCTCACCAACACAAGGACATACACGGCAGCAAGTAATCAGAATATAAGGGTTCAATATCATTAAATTACTTGTTTAATTTGCACATATAGGGACATAAGAATATGTCCCATGCTGGATGGTTTAGAGGAACACTAGAAGAAAAATCTCACTCAAAAAACACGGCAACAAGGGTATTAGAGAATGGCACACGTTTTGGCAGCTTGTTGATCATTAAGGGACAGGAACAAACTCACCAAACAATTCAACAATTTATGGCAGCTTGAGGGGAGTGGAATCGGTTGGAGTTACACCACCAACTAGGTCACCACCAGTTTTATTAATATAATTATCTTCCCACTTTGATCAAGCATTAAAATGAAGGAAATGCACGCCACTTGCTACTGATCCTACATTGTACTACAAACAGCCCATGTTCTTACAAAGATGCTTGTCTCCACTAGTTCTCAATTGAAGGATACACATGCTAATTTAACCAAAGAGACAACTTCCTACAATTCCACTTAGCTTTGTCTCCACTAGACATCTCTTGAAGGAATTCGGCCAAGGCACTTCTCTCATCCATTTGACCGAATATGAGCATGATAATTGTTCTTAAAATATGTTTGAATTATATGCCAAATAATGCCACATCAACAAAGCACTATTCGACCAATTATAATGGAACCTTCGGCCATGCATAGTGTAACCTACGACCATGCATGTTCAAGTCCTATAAAATGGACCTTCATATTGCATTGTAAACTTAACTTTTATTTTGAATTATATTTGAGAGTTTTCTCTTATTGTGTCATTTGTGACTTTTATCGACTTATCAAGTAACTTGTTAGTTGTGGCATCATTCCTTTTCACCTTGATAATTGTGGTTCCTATCTCTTTATAGATAGTGGGTCAAAGTTTGAATTATCATCCCTTAGAACGATTTGTAAGGCTGGGTCTTTGCTCTTTATAGCACTGGTTCTTCCTTGGTTATTCTAAGATAATATCATATTCACCATTCCATTATTTCGTTATCCATTTCATAACCACTACCAAACGTCTTCCGCTACCATCTCTTAAACTGACCATTTACCATCACGTTTACCACCATAAAACTATCCATTTGTTATCATTATCATATACATGTTGTTTTGCTTCCTTCCTAGATCCACAATCAATTGGTAAGGAAGAAACACCATACATCAAGTGGCCTCACAACATACATCGAGCCGATTCGTATTACAACAATAAGGTTTTTATCTGGCCTAAATCCTGATATTGCTAACCTTGTTGAACTTCAACATTATGTAGAAATTGAAGAGATGGTACATGTGGCCATGAAGATTGAACAACAACTTATAAGAAAAACCTACATTCGGAGCAGTGCAAATTCGGCCACCAAATGGAAGCAAAGGCCTATTATCTTCCGGAAGCCAATTCCAGCCCAAGTAAAGGATCCTATAGAAGTTACCAAGACTATACAAGTGGGTGAATCTAGCAAGGGTAAAGAGAAGAAAACTAGTACTTTCGAGATGTTAAGAGATAACAAATGTTTCAAGTGTTTTGGGAAAGGACATGTTGCTAGTAAATGTCTCAATCGAAATGCCATGATAGTACTTGACAATGGAGATATTGTCTCAGATTCTGACGAGCCTATTTATGACGAGGAACCTGAAACAATAGAAGATGAAGAATCTGAAGAGAATGCAGACCATGGCGAGATGATTCTTTTGAAAAGGTACCTACAATCACAAACATCTAAAGAGGATCTTCAAAGAAACAATATTTTCCATACTAGATGCCATGTCAAGGACAAGGTTTGCACAATGATTATCGATGGAGGGAGTTGAAAAAATGTAGCCATCACTCTTATGGTTGAAAAACTTGGTTTGGAAACATCAAAGCATGCCACTCCATATAAACTCCAATGGCTCAATGAAGTAGGTGAGTTAAATGTTACCAAACATGATCTAATTCATTTTTCAGTTGGTAGGTACAAGGACGAGGTGCTTTGTGACATTGTCCCTATTCGTGCTAGCCACATCTTACTTGGTAGACCATGGCAGTATGACAAAAGGGCCATTCATGAATGTTATCACAATCAATACAATTTTAAGCATAATGGACGCAAGGTAACCTTGGTGCCTTTGACGCCTAAAGAAGTACAACAAGACCAATTGCATATGCAAAAGAGTGTACAAGCATGGTGCAAAGATAAACCACCAATGAAGAATGAAGAAGGATAAAACATGAAATCCAACTTCTTCATGAAGCAACATGATGGTTCATTGCTGGAAAATGAAGGGTCTCCTACAAAAAATAGTGATGGTTGGGATTTAACGTCACAACTCTTTACCAAGGGTCTTAATCGTCAAAAGGTAAGTAACCCTTCATTTGAAACCTATTCTCTCCTCACTTTTTATGACCAAACACGTGAAAGTTCACTTCCAAAAAGGTTATCCTTAAAAGAATATCACTCCCAAAAGGAACCTGTTGGTAAATCATATTCCAAAGAAATACCTAAAGGGGAATGATGTGAGCACGTTTAGGGCCGGTTTTCTCCATGACGAAAACCCCTCAAGGACGTTCTACCTTATTAACTCTAAGGGAGTAATTCCTTACTTTATTACTTATTTACTTATTTATGCATTACATTGCATATTAGTAATTAAGTTGTTTAGTATGTTAGAGTAGCTTTGCATATCATGTTTCACATTTTCGTTCAATCATCATTCATGTCAAGCATATTATTGTATCATATTAGTTTTGCATTTCATCTTAGTATTTAAGATGTTCACGTGTTATGTAACATGTTTCCATAAACAGCATACTTGTAGCTAATTTGCATTCAACTTAGTTCCTAGGTTATTCAACTAAGTTCACGTGTTGTTCACATATCATTGTGCAATTCATTTGCATTCATATTTAATTATTTGTTAGCTCATTAATATTTGTCATCTTAGCATTCATGCATATGTGTTTGTTCATGAGAAATAAAATTAATTATTCATGTTTTCACGTTTCAGCATATCACTTGTGTAACTTATTTTAACGTGTTATTATGCATTTATGTTTCATTTGCCGTGCATTTGCAATCATCCTTGCATATTTTAGTAATCATACATATTAAACATTTAGCTCATTTATAAAATAAGTTCACGTGCTCTTTAATGCAAACAAAGGCTCACAAGACACAAGACACACATGGCAGCAAGTTTTATCACTTATAATATCACGTTAATATTAGTTTATTTGCACTTGTAGGGAACACAAAGCTCATGCTCCATACTGGGCGGTTTTTGAGGAGGTTATTTAACATATTTTCATGGTACAAAACGACAACAAGGCTATTAAAATATAGCACAAGTTGGAGCAGCGTATTGAAGCTCTTATCCAGCTCACTCTACGGCAATTAAGGATATGTGGGAGACTTTGTTTTAATGAAATTGTGAGAGTTTTCTCTAATCGAGTCCTTCGTGACTTTTATCGACTTATCAAGTAATTCGTTACTTGTGGCTTCATTCCTTTCACCTTGATACTTATGGTTCCTATCTTTATAGATAGCGGGTCAAAGTCCGATTTACCATCCCTTATCGAAGCAATATAAATTTGGGTCGTTGTTCTTTAACATCGGTTCTTCTTTGAGTCTTCTTTAAGATACCATCGTTTCATCATCCCATAATTCGTTATCCATAATATTACCAAATCCGAGTCTTCCGCTACCATCTCTTAAATCGACCATTTACCACTGTAAACTATCCGTTTCTTATGTTTATCTTATGCAGGTTGCTTCGCTTCCTTCCTAGATCCACAATCGATCGTTGAGGATCTAGGAAGGAAGCGAAGCAACCTGCATAAGATAAACATAAGAGCTGTTGGGCTGTTGGAGTGTTTAATGACGCGATCACGTCGGGCCTCAACGATCGATTGTGGATCTAGGAAGGAAGCGAAGCAACCTGCATAAGATAAACATAAGAAACGGATAGTTTACAGTGGTAAATGGTCGATTTAAGAGATGGTAGCGGAAGACTCGGATTTGGTAATATTATGGATAACGAATTATGGGATGATGAAACGATGGTATCTTAAAGAAGACTCAAAGAAGAACCGATGTTAAAGAACAACGACCCAAATTTATATTGCTTCGATAAGGGATGGTAAATCGGACTTTGACCCGCTATCTATAAAGATAGGAACCATAAGTATCAAGGTGAAAGGAATGACGCCACAAGTAACGAATTACTTGATAAGTCGATAAAAGTCACGAAGGACTCGATTAGAGAAAACTCTCACAATTTCATTAAAACAAAGTCTCCCACATATCCTTAATTGCCGTAGAGTGAGCTGGATAAGAGCTTCAATACGCTGCTCCAACTTGTGCTATATTTTAATAGCCTTGTTGTCGTTTTGTACCATGAAAATATGTTAAATAACCTCCTCAAAAACCGCCCAGTATGGAGCATGAGCTTTGTGTTCCCTACAAGTGCAAATAAACTAATATTAACGTGATATTATAAGTGATAAAACTTGCTGCCATGTGTGTCTTGTGTCTTGTGAGCCTTTGTTTGCATTAAAGAGCACGTGAACTTATTTTATAAATGAGCTAAATGTTTAATATGTATGATTACTAAAATATGCAAGGATGATTGCAAATGCACGGCAAATGAAACATAAATGCAGAATAACACGTTAAAATAAGTTACACAAGTGATATGCTGAAACGTGAAAACATGAATAATTAATTTTATTTCTCATGAACAAACACATATGCATGAATGCTAAGATGACAAATATTAATGAGCTAACAAATAATTAAATATGAATGCAAATGAATTGCACAATGATATGTGAACAACACGTGAACTTAGTTGAATAACCTAGGAACTAAGTTGAATGCAAATTAGCTACAAGTATGCTGTTTATGGAAACATGTTACATAACACGTGAACATCTTAAATACTAAGATGAAATGCAAAACTAATATGATACAATAATATGCTTGACATGAATGATGATTGAACGAAAATGTGAAACATGATATGCAAAGCTACTCTAACATACTAAACAACTTAATTACTAATATGCAATGTAATGCATAAATAAGTAAATAAGTAATAAAGTAAGGAATTACTCCCTTAGAGTTAATAAGGTAGAACGTCCTTGAGGGGTTTTCGTCATGGAGAAAACCGGCCCTAAACGTGCTCACATCATCCTCCCTTTCTTTTTGGCGATTTGTCCTCAAATCGAAATGATTTCTCATTGAAGACCTTCTTGATGTAGGATGGATGGAATCCTCATACCTTTCTCCAATGGTCAACCTCTTGACTTCATATTTGGTAACTTCATATTTCCTTGAATCATCATGAGGATGGTGGGATAGCTTTTCCTTCAAATCGTTTTTTTGCAAATTGGAGAGTGGCAATTTCTTATCAAGATTGCAAAGATACTTATCCTCGCAACTCAATACATCAATTCCACGTTTTTGTATCGTCCCTCCAAATAGTAAATAAAAGTTAGTAGGTAAATCAATAACAAAAGAGTTAGAAAGATTAAACCTTGGATGATACTTGATGATATCATTGGGTACCAGTTCCTTGGGAATAGAAATTTTCATTAAGTCCTTCTTTGAAACATTGCTAGAGCATGGACGATGCTCGATCATCAATAGGGTTGGCGATGTGTTTATCATCTTTCTGGAAGTACTCGTCTTGTCCTGCTGCAACAATGAAGATCCAAAAATAGAAGAAGAATGGTTAAGGTTGTTAGTGCAAATTGAAATTTTACACTCTTTCTCCTTTGCACAAACAATTTCTTTTTCAAATTCTTCATTTTCACTCTCATTCTCATTTTCGACTCCAACATTTCTCACATCGATTTTCTTATTTTCATTGCTCTCAATGTCGTTTTCAACTTTCACTTCTTTATTTTTGCAAACACTTTCTTTTTGTAGTTGTTCTTGCAATTGTGTTTCTTTGACGAAATTGTCAACACACTCTTGAAGACGAGCTAGACTTTCTGGATTAAAACATGCAAAATTTCTTGGCTCTCTTCTCGTTGAACTTTTTACATTGCTTCGGAAATTGGAATCCTCTTCGTAAGATCTTTCGTTCCAATTGGATGTAGGAACGGGTCGAGTGTCGTCTCTCCTCTTGATTTGGCCCCTGATCTTCGGCGGAGGTGTTTGTGAACAAGAAAGTTTTTCGATTATACGATCCATCGTCTTTATGATTGGGTTGAGACTTTCTTTGAGCAAACTCCTCAATTCTCGACTGAAATCTTGAAATTGAGAATTTGATAAAAAATCTCGTTCGTCATCTACTGTATAATCATTTGATCTTGTGTACTTTCGAGACATAATGAAAAGAAAAAGATTAATAAAAATAATCAAAATAACTGTTAGTAACATAAAAAGAATCTCACCAATTCACTCCAAAGAAAACTTGAATGTCGCTCAACACTCGTGTTTAACTCGGGATGGCTTTTACCCTTGGTGTTCACTCTTGCCTTTTACCGCTCAATTCTCTTTATGTCAAGTCCTAAAATGACTTTACTCAAAACCGTATCAAGTAGATTTTACTCGATGTGCGTCGGCTACAAAAAAGGTTAGTAGGAATGGAAAACAAAAATATACAAAGGTGTCTTAGAAATAGAAAGAAAAAAAAATGTTACTTACACACGTTACTTCACAACCTTTCTATCACCACAATCAATCAAAGGCTTTCTTTGAATGGCTCGGTGATAAACTTGTTGATGAATCCTTCGACTTTTCTTTCTTTTGCTGATTTTCGATTTTTTTTCACTTGCAACTTTCTTGAACTTCTTTTTGTATTTTTTTTTTGTATTTTCGTTGTATGTTGCTTCTTCCACCAAAAGATCTGATTACCACAAGATACGATAATCTCGCTTGATGTACGGTGCTTCTTCCAGCTAGCTCTGATACCAAATGACGCGATCACGTCGGGCCTCAACGATCGATTGTGGATCTAGGAAGGAAGCGAAGCAACCTGCATAAGATAAACATAAGAAACGGATAGTTTACAGTGGTAAATGGTCGATTTAAGAGATGGTAGCGGAAGACTCGGATTTGGTAATATTATGGATAACGAATTATGGGATGATGAAACGATGGTATCTTAAAGAAGACTCAAAGAAGAACCGATGTTAAAGAACAACGACCCAAATTTATATTGCTTCGATAAGGGATGGTAAATCGGACTTTGACCCGCTATCTATAAAGATAGGAACCATAAGTATCAAGGTGAAAGGAATGACGCCACAAGTAACGAATTACTTGATAAGTCGATAAAAGTCACGAAGGACTCGATTAGAGAAAACTCTCACAATTTCATTAAAACAAAGTCTCCCACATATCCTTAATTGCCGTAGAGTGAGCTGGATAAGAGCTTCAATACGCTGCTCCAACTTGTGCTATATTTTAATAGCCTTGTTGTCGTTTTGTACCATGAAAATATGTTAAATAACCTCCTCAAAAACCGCCCAGTATGGAGCATGAGCTTTGTGTTCCCTACAAGTGCAAATAAACTAATATTAACGTGATATTATAAGTGATAAAACTTGCTGCCATGTGTGTCTTGTGTCTTGTGAGCCTTTGTTTGCATTAAAGAGCACGTGAACTTATTTTATAAATGAGCTAAATGTTTAATATGTATGATTACTAAAATATGCAAGGATGATTGCAAATGCACGGCAAATGAAACATAAATGCAGAATAACACGTTAAAATAAGTTACACAAGTGATATGCTGAAACGTGAAAACATGAATAATTAATTTTATTTCTCATGAACAAACACATATGCATGAATGCTAAGATGACAAATATTAATGAGCTAACAAATAATTAAATATGAATGCAAATGAATTGCACAATGATATGTGAACAACACGTGAACTTAGTTGAATAACCTAGGAACTAAGTTGAATGCAAATTAGCTACAAGTATGCTGTTTATGGAAACATGTTACATAACACGTGAACATCTTAAATACTAAGATGAAATGCAAAACTAATATGATACAATAATATGCTTGACATGAATGATGATTGAACGAAAATGTGAAACATGATATGCAAAGCTACTCTAACATACTAAACAACTTAATTACTAATATGCAATGTAATGCATAAATAAGTACATAAGTAATAAAGTAAGGAATTACTCCCTTAGAGTTAATAAGGTAGAACGTCCTTGAGGGGTTTTCGTCATGGAGAAAACCGGCCCTAAACGTGCTCACATCAGGGAATCTTAAAAAAGGGTACCTACTGGAAGAAGATCTAAAGGTGTTAAGGGATTAAATCCATATACTACCTTAAATGGTGACATCTTGGTTGTTGAATGGACAACCCGATTGTATGCAAACTCAACGTGTGGTAAACATTCCTCCCACGCTTTGATGTTCCTTTTGATGATAGATCTCAACAAGGTTGATAATACTCAATTCACCACTTCGGTTTACCCATCTATTTGAGGGTGACATGTTGTGGTGAATAGCAATTTTGTTCCAATCTTATTCCATAATGTCCTCCAAAAATGGCTTAGAAATTTGACATCTCTATCAGAAACTATGGTATGAAATATGCCATTTTGGAAAAATAATCCACTACAATAATATTGAATCTCGCCCATTCTTTGTCCTTGGTAGTCCCATCACAAAGTCCATTGATATGTCAACCCATGGTTCTTGAGAAATAGGTAAAGGCATGTAAAGTCCATGAGACATAACTTTTGATTTTGCCCTTTTGCAAGTGATACATTTTTCATATACCCTTTCAATGTCTCTCTTCATTTTAGGCCAATAGAGGTGTTGTTTCAAAATTTCCAAGGTTTTACTTACTCCAAAATGACCCATGAGACCTCCTTCTTGTGCTTCTCGAACAAGTAATGATATAGTTCAACCTAGCCTCACTTGGATGGATGGTGAAGTCAAGGTTGTACCTTTGATTGTTTCGATCTAGGAAAGCAACAAGGATCCTACACAAACAAGAAAGCTAAAAAAATAGTTAAATGGAAGTAATGAAATGGAAAGATAAATATGGAAGCTGAAAATATATATATAAGTTGGTGATATGTTTAAAGGAAATGATAAAGTATGGTAATGGAAGTAGAATAAAGGTGATGGAGATGAATATGAAAAGTAGTATCTCAAATAAGACTCAAAGAAGAACCAATGTTAAAGAACAAAGACCCAGACTTTATATTGCTTCTTTAAGGGATGGTAAACAAGGACTTTGAACCACTATCTATAAAGAGATAGGAACCAGAAGTATCAGGGTGACATAGATAGGGGTGACGCCACAAGCATAAGCTTGATAAGTCGATAAAGTTCACTTAAGAACTAAAGAGAGAAACTCTCACAAATATTTGATTAAACAAAGTCAATTGGTTCTTTTTTACAAATGAATGGAAAGCTATTTATAGGCCTAAGAGTGTATGGTGTGAATACAAAACATTTAATGAGTGAACCTTCATGGATGAGTGTTCATACTTGAAGTAGATACAAAGCATGGCTTAGGTGAATGAATTTTGATGAATTGATGTTCATATTTTAATGGAATACATCCTTTGGCCGAATTCATCCCACCTTGTGTGAACTTGTTGATTTGTCTTCTATGGATGAATGTTCATGAATGTATCTTGGCTGAAATTCTTCCCACTTGTGTGAACATGACTATTTGGCTTCTTGCATGAATGGATGAATTTAAAAGCCTTTGAATGAATCCTTGCACCTCCTCACAAATGTTCTGATTCATTTTAATATTCTTTTCTCGTCCATGCATGTCTTCATTAATACCTCCCATGCATAAGTCCTTTGAAGGAGATGAATGGTTGCAAATCCCGTATTAATTTCCAGCCTGCACTGTCTTCAGTAATATGGGCATATCTCAATCTCCTGATATCGGATTAATGTGATTCAAAATGCATTGGAAAGCTACGAAATAGGGGATTAAATGTTAAGAAGAATTAATCACCCAAAGCTGCTTGGAACATGTTCAAAAATGTAGATCAATCTTATTGACGTGAACTGTCCAACCAACTCTTCAATTGCCTTTAGTCTTCTTAGCATCCAATGAACCTAGACAAAATATGTAAACAAATAATTAGATAGGAATTGAGCTATGATAATTATGAATGCATGCTTCCACCTATGTTAATAATGCAAATGAGCTAACTATGAATGCATATGCATTGAATGAGTTATATAAAGATGTGAATTAATAAGTCGTGCATGAATATCATATATTATACATATAAATGACAGCATATAATATTCAAGAAAAAATTAAGAATAAGATAAACATATTCACGTGACATGTAATGCATAAATGAGTAAATAAATAATAAAATAAGGCAAGACTCCCTTAGAATCATCTTGGAAGAACTTCAAAGTTGTGAGCGTGTTTTGTTTGAACTTGGTGGTTGGTAGGATCACATCATCCCCCATTCTTTAAGGCGATTTGTCCCCAAATCGATGCTTGGTACATAAGGGAACAACTTTGATGTTCGTTTGAATGGAAATTCTTTCATTCTCATCTTGCATCGTTTTCTTTGCTCAAAATGCTTCGTATGTTCAAGTCTTTGCTTTTGAGTCAACAATCTGATAAATAGAACAAAGTTATAAGTAGATAATTTAGAATCAAAGGAAAGTAAAGGATTAAATTCAT